GGGTACACCAAAATATCACACATCACCACTAAAGAACTTACACATGTAACCTAACACCACCTGTTCCCCAGTAACCTATGGAAATTTTAAAAAAAGAAGTACTTTTATCTACTCGTTCCATGATTTCAGTGGGTGACACATAAAGTGCCTGTTCATTCAGCATATAGTCCTGGAGCACCTGCTTTGTGACCTGGGAATATAGGGGTGCGTGGAAGATACAGTCCTGCCCTTAAGTTGTTCTTAGTTATTCAGGTAGAGAGACAAGTAAACAGGTGTTCAGAATCCAACTCAGCATATACTGCTGTAGGACTACACAGCAGGGCATGTAACCCTCTTTTTTGTGGGGGCAGGGTGGGGAGGATGGGAGGGCCATGGGGCTTCCCAGGGGAAAGGATGTCAGGCTGAAATCTTAAGAAGGGAAGAATATTCTAAGCACAGGGAATAGCATGTGCAAAAATCCGGAGACCAGAGAGCAAAGTGCAGTTGGGAAGCTTCCAAATACACTACAGTTTGGCCTCTGTATAGAATGTGAACTGAAGGGTAGAGAGGTCATGGTGGAGGGAGAGAAGGAGGAGCAGTACAGATGGGGCAGGGCCTTTGTATACCATGTGAGAAAGTTTGGACTTTATCCTAGGGGGCAACCAGAGAGCTTTGAGGGTTTGGGGAAGGGCTCCACTTACCTCTCCAGCTGCTGCTGCTTTTCCCTTTCTCTGTCACCAGTCACACTTAATTCTTGTAGTTCCTGCCAAGGCCACAATCTTTCTTGCCTCAGGCCTTTGCACTTCTGTCTGGAATGTACCATAAAGATTATTCTGGTTGCAGCGTGTTAACTAGATTAGAACAGGGTGAGCCTAGAAATGGAGACAGAATAGGAGTCTGATGCAGTGGCCTAAGTGAAAGGAAATGGTGACCCAAACTGGGGAAGTGGCAGTGTGAACAGAGAGGCAAGGGCAGATGTATGTGATATTGTAGGAGGTAGAATTGACAGTGTCACAATTGGCAGGTCATTGCCTTGGGGGGCAAGTTTGATACCTTAAGCATTGAAATTCAAATGGGGTAGAAGGGCAGTAGGCTGTGGTCTGATTCCCATTGATCTACTTCATGATGTGTTTCAAGACCTCACTGTCCCATTGGAACACAAACCACCTGGATTTGCTCAACAAATTAATAAAGCTTAGAGGTTCCAGCTGCGTTATTGCAAGCCATGGCCTTGTTTATGTCTAACCTTAACATATGATTATATGCCTTAGGCTCTCTGTAAACTAATACGTAATAACATGCTTACTTATAAGCATAATGGAATAAATGAGACAAAAATCAGACTAAATGGCCAAGATGATCATCATCAAGTAGCTCTTATTAAGAACCATTAAATGCCTGGTCGGGTTTCCATGCACAAGATCCCTTTAACAAACTCAGTTTATATCATATGCTCTTGACTAGAGAAGCTTGACTCATTGCAGTTGTTTAAACCCTTAAACCCAGACATTCCCAAGCCAACCCCCACCACCCGAACCCTGGACTCCTACTGCATAGAGCTTTTCTGTTTACATTTGCTACTATAGAGATTTAGTTTGTTTCCGAAGGATGCATTTTAACTTTTGTGTGGTAAGCCACATTTGTTGTATTTGAACCATGTGTGACGCAAGGGAGAAAGGTAAGCATTTGGCTTAGAGGGGGAAGGGTGAATCTTTAGGTTAACAGAGGTACTTCCTGCCAATTTAAAATGAGCTGGTTAAAATGTGTGTGTGTGTACATGTACACATACACATGAATATATTTTTATATGCCAAAAAAAAACGAATGTGGATATAAAGCTTATTAAACTGCACCATGCTGTTTTCCAGTCTGAAACATCAAGGAAAAAAAATGCTATCTCAGAGTCTATATGTCTGTCACTTTGGAATTGTATGATACATAACTCTTAGCTGACCTGGAAGTGCTGAGACCAGGCCTCGTGTGTGTTTTGTTATATCTTCAGTTATATAAACCATGAGGAAGAAATGGAGAAAAGGAAAGGACTTCAGCTGATAGATGGAAAACTAAGGTCCACAGAGATTCACTGTCCGTGACCCATGATGAATTAATTTCTTTACTCAATAGAGCTATAAGCTATATTTAGTATTATAAGGCATATTAATGATCTATTACTGCCTAACAAATTACCTCAAAACTTAGTGGCTTAAAACAACACACATTTACTATCTCATACATTCCATGGGTCAGGAAATCTGGGGTATGACTTAGCAAGATCCTGCTTCAAGATCTCTCACAAAGCTGCAATCCAGGTGTCTGCCAGGGCTGGAGTCTCATCTGAAGGCTCAACTGAAAGATCCACTTGCAACCTCACATAGTTATTGGTAGGATTTAGTTATTTGTGGACCACTGGGTGAAATTCTGTTTCTTGCTGGATGTTGGCTGAAGGCCACCCTCAGTTCCTTACCACACAGCCCCTGGCATGATATTGCTTCATGGAAATATGTAAATTGAGAAAAAAATAGAAGTCTGCAAGCAAGATGAAGTCATAATCTTTTGTAACCTAATCCCAGAAGTGACATCCCATCAACTTTGCCACATTCTACTGGTCAGAAGCACATCAACATCAACAGTCCAGCCCACACTCATGGGGAGGAGATTATAAAAGGGCATGAATACCAGGAAGGGGGGATCTTTCTTAGGCAGTTCGGGCTGCTGTAACAAAATACCATAGAGGGGATGGCTTAAACAACAGACATTTATTTCTCACAGTTCTGGGGGCTGGGAAGTCCAAGGTCAAGGTGCTGGTGGCTCAGTGCCTGGTGAGGCCTTTCTTTCTGGTTTGCTAGGGGCTACCTTCTTGCTGCAGAGAGAGAGGGAGTTCTGGTCTCTTCCTCATATAAGGGCAGTGATCCTGTCATGGGGGCTCAACCCTCATAACCTCATCTAAACCTAATGACCTCTCAAAGGCCTCACCTCCAAATCCCTTCATATTGGAAATTCAGGCTTCAGTATATTAATTTTAGGGAACATTGGGGGAAAAATCTTTTCCCATAATTTATACACTTCTCTTCTGACACCAAATGGATGGATTTGTCTCAAACCAGCCAATTCTCCAAGTCTCCAGACACCCTCTGGGAGTCCTACAATTAAGTTATGGCATTACCTAACTCAGTCCCACAAGACTGCCCCCAACTTCAGATGCCAATTACAAAGTGGGAGTTCCCGCCGGGCGCGGTGGCTCAAGCCTGTAATCCCAGCACTTCGGGAGGCCGAGGCGGGTGGATCACTGAGGTCAAGAGATCGAGACCATCCTGGTCAACATGGTGAAACCCGGTCTCTACTAAAAATACAAAAAATTAGCTGGGCATGGTGGCACGTGCCTGTAATCCCAGCTACTCAGGAGGCTGAGGCAGGAGAATTGCCTGAACCCAGGAGGCGGAGGTTGCGGTGAGCCGAGATCGCACCATTGCACTCCAGCCTGGGTAACAAGAGCGAAACTCCGTCTCAAAAAAAAAAAAAAAAAAAAACAAAGTGGGAGTTCCCACAACCTCTTCCTCTGGTTTGATAATTTGCTATAATAGCTCACAAAATACAGGAAAACACTTATACTTACCAGTTTATTATAAAGAATATAGGTTTGGCTGGGCATGGTGGCACATACCTGTAATCCCAGCACTTTGGGAGGCTGAGGCAGAAGGATCTCTTGAGCCTGGGAATTCGAGACCAGCCTGAGCAAAATAGTAAGATCCCATCTCAATTCAATAATAAAAAAATTAAAAGGCTATAGATGAACTGCAGATGAAGAGATATATAGGGTGAGGTCAGGAAGGATCCTGTACACCGGAGCTTCTGTTCTTGTGGAGTTCACCAAACCTGGCACAGATGTGTGTTCACCAACCCAGAAACTCTCCAAACTGTATCTTTTAGGAATTTTAATGATGGCTTCATTACATAGGCATGATTGATTATTAACTGAATTTCTAGACTCTCTCCCCTCCCTAGAGGATGTTGGGGTGTGGGACTGAAAGTTCCAAGCTTTTAATCATGGCTTGATCTTTCTTTTGACCAACCTCCATCCTGAAGCCATTGAGGATCCTACCAAAAGTTGCCTCATTAGAACGAGAGATGCTCTGGTCACCCAGAAAATTCCCAGAGAGTTGCTGTGTGCCAGGGCAGAGACCAGGTGTCACAGGGGTATGCAGACATCTGGTGTATAGCAGAATCATTGAAGTCCATTTTTGAAAGGTGTCTACCAGAGTTGGTACATATAATTTAGCTTTCTTTGTTCTCAGCTACAGCTTTTTCTACTAGACCAAACCATCTGATGTATGGCTGTGAAACATTAATATGCTCAGCGTGGTGGGCTGAAGAAGGGCCCTCCAAAGATGTTCCCATGAGCCCCCAGGAGGAACTTGGCTTTGCTAACTAACACCTTGAGTTTAGCTCCATAAACCCCGCTTAATACTCCTGACGTCCAGAACTGAAAAATAATAAATTTATGTTATTTTAAGCCACTAGGTTTATGGTAATTTGTCCCAGCAGCATCAGGAAACTAATACACTCACCAAAAGTCCTTGAGGAAACCCACTTGTGGAATTTTTTAAGGAACTGGGGGCTTACATAGAAGGTACAGGATAATGGGCTTCTGAGGGCTTTGCCTACCCTCTGGTAACTCTGAAACATAATTTACATTATTGGAGTCTTTCTGTTTTTAGAAAATTGTTCCTAGTTCTCTTCAGTACTAAATCCTATCAATATTAAACAGTTTTTTTTTTTTAAAGTATTTGGTTAGTTAAAGAATAGACCTAGGTCTCACTTCCTCTTCAAAATAAAACAAAAACATGGTATTTAGTAGAGGACACTAAGGCTTCAATTTTTAAAGCTGGTTGCTTATTGTTTATTTGTACCTCAGGAGTGGAAATACTGGCTGAGATGAAAGTACTTAACCACAAATCGCTTTTCCTTCTTGGTGTTTCACAGCCAGATGTTGTGACATTCTTTTGTTTTTCTTTTTTCTCTAGTGCCCGGAAACCTTGGCTGCTACAAGGATCATGGAAACCCACCTCCTCTAACTGGCACCAGTAAAACATCCAACAAACTCACCATACAAACTTGCATCAGTTTTTGTCGGAGTCAGAGGTTCAAGGTGATGACTCTGTGGCTATGTAACTATAACAAAATATAAAGCTGTACATGCATTTTGCTGAGATAACTTAAAAATAAGTGCTAAATAAAATAAGCCAGACACAAAAGGCCACATATTGTAGGATTCCACTTAAATGAAGTGTCTAGAAGAGGCAAATCCATAGAGATAGAAAGTAGGTTAGTGGTTGCCAGATGGTGGGAGGTGGGAGGAATTGGTACTAACTGCTAATCAGTACAGAGTTTCTTTTCGGGGTTACGAATGTTCTGGAATTAGATGGTGGTGATTGCACAACACAGTGACTAAACCAACAACCACTGAAGTATACACTGAAACAGTGAATGTTATGTGAATTACATTTCAATTTTTTAAAAAGCTAAAACAACTAAACTTCTAGAAAAACAAAAATCCTAAAATATTGGGTTAGACAAAGATTTCTTAAATTGGACACAAATCATTTTTAAAAGTTGGTGAAAATATTATCTTCAAAAAATAGAGTTAAGAATATGAAAGGCAAGCCACAGACCAGGAGAAAGTAGTTGTTAAATATATATCTGATAAAGGACTTGTATGCAGAATATAGAAAGAACACTTACAACTCAACAATAAGATAACTTGATTTTTAAAGTGAGCAAAAAATTTGAAGAGACATTTTATCTCTAAAAATATATAGATGGCCATTAACCACATAAAAAGATGCTCAGCATCACCAGTATTTGTCAAGGAAATACAAATTAAAACCACAATGAGATACCACTGCACACTACTTCAGAATGTCTGAAGTTAAAATGCTAAGAATTGATAAGGATGTGGAGCAACTGAAACTCTCACAGACTGCTAGTAGGAATGTAAAATGCTACAGCCTCTCTGAAGAAAGATCTTAAAGTTTCTTTTAAAGTTAAATATGCATATACCTTAAAACTCAGCAATATCACACCTGGATAGTTACCCAAGATAAATTAAAACCTGTGTTCACACAAAGACTTATACATGAATGTTCATAGCAGCATTATTCATAATAGCTCCAAACTGTCAATAATCTAAACACCCATTAACAGATGAATGGAAAAACAAAGAATAACATATCCATACTGTGGAATGCCACTCAGCAATAAAAAGAGACATATTAAGACACGCTGATACACACCACACGGATGAATCTTTAAAACAGTATGCCAGTTGAAAGAATTTAAACACAAGACTACATACTGAACTCAAAATGGATCCTAGATCTAGCTCTAAAATGTAGCACCATAAAACTTCTAGAAGAAAATATAGGCCGGGCGCGGTGGCTCAAGCCTGTAATCCCAGCACTTTGGGAGGCCAAGGCGGATGGATCACGAGGTCGAGAGATCGAGACCATCCTGGTCAACATGGTGAAACCCCGTCTCTACTAAAAATACAAAAAATTAGCTGGGCATGGTGGCACGTGCCTGTAATCTCAGCTACTCAGGAGGCTGAGGCAGGAGAATTGCCTGAACCCAGGAGGCGGAGGTTGCGGTGAGCCAAGATCGCGCCATTGCACTCCAGCCTGGGTAACAAGAGCGAAACTCCGTCTCAAAAAAAAAAAAAAAGAAAATATAAGAGAAAATCTTCATGACCTGAGTTTAGGCAAAAAGTTCTTACATGAGACACCAAAAACATGACCCATGATGAGAAAAAATTGGTACATTTTAATTTGGACTTCACCAAAATTTAAAGATCTTGCTCTGTGAAAGATATTTTTAATAGAATGAAAGACAAGCTATAGCCTGGGAGAAAATATTTGCAAATCACTTATGCGACAAAGGACTTGTATCCATAACGTGTAAAATTAAAAAAAAAAAAAAAACAAAAAAAAAACCTCAACAGTAAAAAAAAAAAAAAACAACGAACAACAACAACAAAAAAACAAAGCAATTTTAAAATGGGCAAAGACTTGAACAGCTATTTTGCCAGAGAGGATATACAGATGGCAAATGAGCACATGAAAAGATAGTTGTCTGGGCGTGGGTGGCTCACGCCTGTAATCCCAACACTTTGGGAGGCCAAAGCAAAAGGGTCACTTGAGGTCAGGAGTTCGAGACCAGCCTGGCCAACATGGCAAAACCTTGTCTCTACTAAAAATACAAAAATTAGCTGGGCATGGTAGTGCACCTGTAGTCTTACTCAGGAGGCTGAGGCAGAACAATCGTGTGAACTTGGGAGGCAGAGGTTGCAGTGAGCCAACATCATACCACTGCACTCCAGCCTGGATGACACAGTGAGACTCTGTCTCAAAAAAAAAAAAAGAAAGAAAAAGAAAAGATAGTCAACATCATTAGCCATTAAGGTAATGCTAATTTAAATTGCATTGAGATACTACTACATACCTATTAGAATGGCTAAAATAAAGTATACTGAAAATAACAAGTGCTGACAAAGATACAGAGCAAGTGGGACTTTCATAAGTTGTTGGTGTGGATCTAAAGTCATTCTGTCTACAGTCATTCTGGAAAAGTTTGATACTTTTTTATAAAGTTAAATATGTATCTACAACATGACCTAGCAACTCCATTTCTAGTTATTACCCTAGAGCAGGTGTCCCCAAACTATGGACTGTGGGCCGCATGCAGGCTCCTGAGGCCATTTATCCGGCCCCCCGCCACACTTCAGGAAGGGGCACCTCTTTCATTGGTGGTCAGTGAGAGGAGCACAGTATGTGGCGGCCCTCCAACGGTCTGAGGGACAGTGAACTGGCCCCCTGTGTAGAAAGTTTGGGGATGCCTGCCCTAGAGAAATGAAAACTTATATTCACATAAAAATCTCTACACAAGTGCTTATAGCAGCTCTATTCATAATCATGAATAACTAGAAACAGCCTAACAGATAAACAAGCTGTGATACATCCATACAATGAACTGTGCTCAGCAATAAGAAGGAGTAAAGTAGCCAGGTGCGGTGGCTCACACCTGTAATCCCAGCACTTTGGGAGGCCGAGGCAGGTGGATCACAAGGTCAGGAGATCGAGACCATCCTGGTCAATATGGTGAAACCCCCTCTCTACTAAAAATACAAAAAATTAGCTGGGCCTAGTGGCACGTGCCTGTAATCCCAGCTACTCAGGAGGCTGAGGCAGGAGAATTGCCTGAACCCAGGAGGCGGAGGTTGCGGTGAGCCAAGATCGTGCCATTGCACTCCAGCCTGGGTAACAAGAGCGAAACTCTGTCTACAAAAGAAAAAAAAAAAAAAAGAAGGAGTAAACTATTGATAAAAACACCAGTTTGGATGAACCTCAAAGACATTATGCTGACTGAAAGAAGCCAGTCTCAGAAAGATTACATACTACATGATTCCATATATATGACATTCTCGAAAAGACAAAACTATGATAATGGAAGACGGTTCAGTGGTTGCCAGGGGTTCTGGGGGAGTGGGCCTATAAAGCAATAGTGCAAAGAAAATTATCGGGGTAATGCATCTGTTCGGAATCCCTGATTGTACTGCTGGTTGCACAAATCTTTTTTTTCTCTTTGAGTTAGAGTCTCACTCTGTTGCCCAGATTGCATGCAATGGAGCAATCTCGGCTCACTGCAACATCCACCTCCCGGGTTCAAGCAATTCTGCCTTAGCCTCCCGAGTAGCTGGGATTACAAGTGCCCATCACCATGCCCAGCTAATTTTTATATTTTATATTTTTAGTAAAGATGGGGTTTCACCTTGTTGGCCAGACTGGTCTCTAACTCCTGACCTCAAGTGATCCATCTGCTTCGTACTTTCAAAGTGCTGGGATTATAGGCATAAGCTACCATGCCTGGCTGTGTTTGCACAAATCTATACAAGTGTTAAAATGTACAGAATTATATACCAAAATACTATGTAGTAATATAAAAACCAAATTGTAAAATGGGGCCTTGAGGGTTAGCCATAAAGCACTCACTACCTGGCACATAGTAAACAGTCAATAAAATGTTTAGCTCTTACTCATGTTTAAAGTTTATAAGATTTTATCCCTCTTAAAACTTACTTAAGTGCAGTAGAAACACAAACATTAAAAAGGGATGCTTGCTGACAGGAAAATACGTTGGTGGTTACGTACTTATTGGTCAGCTTGGAATTAAGTGTTACAAGAGTAGAAGAAGCAGAAGGCCCCAGGGGAAGGGTCCCTGGGAAGATGAAGCTGACGACTGGAAGCCCACCCTGCCAGGCTTCTTCACACCATCTGACATCCCTAATAATGCTTACTGTGTGCTGCTTCTCTGTTGTGGCAGTTTGCTGGGATGGAGTCAGGCTATGCTTGCTTCTGTGGAAACAATCCTGATTACTGGAAGTACGGGGAGGCAGCCAGTACCGAGTGCAACAGCGTCTGCTTCGGGGATCACACCCAACCGTGTGGTGGCGATGGCAGGATCATCCTCTTTGATAGTGAGTATGCCCTGTGCTCATCACTGCCCAAGGTACAGGAACCCTTGAACCAGAGCAAGGAGGCTGCCCACCGTCCCTCCCTTTCATGCGTTCATTCATTCACTTGGCAATGGGCCATACTTGTGACTAGATCCTGGGAATATAGCACAATGAATGAAGACTCATCCCCAGCCTTGTAGAAGAGAGAACAGACACTTAACAAGTGATTAGCTACAGTCATGCCAAATGGTTTGAAGCAACATGGCCTATTGTGTGATGCTTACACAACCTAGAAAATACAACCTTTCCATAGACACTAATATAACAATTCAGTATCAGCTTTATTATCCTCTTGCTTTAATATAATTTCCAAGCCCTTTTTACTCCTTTTTTATTGGCATTTGGGATTTACATCTTATTGTGATACACCTGAGAAGAGAACATAGCTCTAAGTTGTTTTTCCAGGCCTGGCATTGGGTTTGCCCTGACCCACCTTCTCTCTAAACTCCTGAATTTGTGAGATGTTGGCCAGGGGCCAAGTGTGTTGAGAATGGGAGTGGGTTCTCGACCCTGCCAACATCGTGTTCTAACCACTGAGCCAACTGATTCCTCATCGTAATCCACCAGCATCCACTCAGTGGCAGTGAGACTTTATGAGAGTTACAGCACCAGTGCAGCACCAGATTTCAAGATAGTGGAGGCAGACAAAATAAAAGGCTTGAGAAATACTCTAGTGTCTGTGATGTCTTTAGCCTTTAGCCTAGAGGAGGTACACTCCTGAAATCTCAACCAGGTAGTGTGGCTAGTTTTGAGCAAAAATGTCATACCATCTATTAGTTTCCTAGGGCTGCCATAACAAATTATCACAAACTGGATGGCTTAAAACAATTAAAATTCATACTCTGACAGTTCTGGAGGCTAGAAGTCCAAAATCGAGGTGTCAGCAGGGCTGTGCTCTCTCCAACATCTCCAGGGAAGCCTGCCTTCCTCACTTCTGGTGGTTGTGGGAGATCCTTGGCATTTGTTGGCTGCACCACTCCAATCTCTGCCTTCTCCTTTGCATGGCCATCTTCCCTCTGTGTGTGTCTGTGTGTGTACGTCTCTGTGTGTCTCCTTAAAAGGAACCAGTCATTGGACTTAGTATAGCCTCATCCTAACTCAGTTACATAACATTCACAGGGACCAAGTGTTAGGACTTGAACGTATTCTTTCTGGGGATCACAGTTCAGTCACTATATACGGTGACCGTAAAACCCAGCCCAGGTTTATAACTGAGCCTTTTGCATGTTATAGCTTAGACATTGGCTAAAGTGTGTTTGTATTTGGGGGTGGGAAAATGGGAGAAGGATTAATGAACAGAACTCACAGTCATTTGGTTTTTTTTTAGCTAAGTGTGCCCATTGGAGATTGCCAGTTGCTTCCTATACATCCTGTTAAGTCCAAACCAGTGCTTAGTTTGATACCTTTGTTTTGGCTAAAGACTGAACTTTGGCTAATGATTAAGACATCTTGCTAATGCTTAGTTGGCAAATAATTATGCACTGCACATTTATTTAACCTTTTATTCTAGAGTTCATTATTGTAAGATTCTGTGCCTTAACACTCTAAGTCAGGAGAGTAAGTTTTCTGAGCTTGCAAAATGCCTGGTATATTCTTAAGTGAAAAGGAAATAAATATTTCTTGTGTACCTAGTATGTGTGAAGGCTTTCTCTAAATCAGGCATCCCCAAACTTTTTATACAGGGGGCCAGTTCACTGTCCCTCAGACCGTTGGAGGGCCGCCACATACTGTGCTCCTCTCACTGACCACCAATGAAAGAGGTGCCCCTTCCTGAAGTGCAGCGGGGGGCTGGATAAATGGCCTCGGGGGCCGCATGCGGCCCGCGGGCCGTAGTTTGGGGACGCCTGTTTTAGATCAAGAAAAAATAGAATATAGGTTTTATATGACAATTTTTCATTTAGCACATTTTCATTGTGCATCTGCTGTGTGGCAGATAAAATTATGTTTTCTTTAGTATAATGTCTTTACTGGGGGTGTCAAGTAGAAATAATTTGGATTAAATTTTAAATGCAGCACTGTAGAAATAATCCCTAAAATATGTATGAAGTAGCATCTTTGGTACTACTAGGAAATAGTACTGGTCCTCCCATAAAAATGCACTAAACTGAATTAATTACAACAAAAATTATTGCTATTTTTTGAGCACATGTTGTGTGCTAGACTTGATGCCAAGTGCTTTTGTGTATTTTATGTTATTTAATCCTCATAGCAGCCCTGTTGATAAGAAAACTATGGATCAAAAGATGAAGTCATTTGTCTGTGCTAGTAAGTGCCACAGCCAGGATTCAAACAGTGGTTTGCCACATTTGAAATTTTTCTATTTTCAGCAGCTAAAATCCCCTTTATTAACAAAGTAAAATAGATTATAATAATGGATCCAGTTTTATGCTTTAAAGGTATATGAATAAAGTATTCCCAGTTCTCATTATTACCACATTGGCCCCTTGTGCAGCTTTCCAGAAGCTGCCCTTTCTGGCCTGCACTTGCTCAAGGACTAAGAAGGCTGGCATTGAGAGGCTGCTCACGCCATCCTCCAGAGGCCTGGATGCGTGTGGACTACAGGAGCCCTGACAGTAGCCAGTTCTGTAACTCACATGCCATTGCTCTGCTGAGAAAGGTACAAAATGCAGCACTGTAGAAACATTCTGTAAAGGTGCATCTAGAGGCCAGGCGTGGGTGCACAGGCCTCTAATTTCAGCTACGTGGGAGGCTGAGGCAGGAGAATCACTTCAACCTGAGAGGCAGAGGTTTCAGTGAGCTGAAATCACGCACTGCACTCCAGCCTAGGCGGCAGAGTGAGAGTTCATCTAAAAAAAAAAAAAAAGGTTTGTCTGGTAGAGAGTAAAATAGTTTGCATAGCTCAAGTACCGCCCCTTATGACTCATTGAACAAGGCTGAGCACTTTGGATGGTGACCACAGACTGTTCCATGATTTGGGAGGGTGAAGATGTCTCCCTAAAGATATTGGCGAAGTTAGGTAGTGAGAAATGACCAGGTTACAGTCTATTTCCCAGATAATGAGGCCCCGCTACCAGCATATCTCGAATCCGGGTCTCAGTCAGAGTGTCAGCGAGATCTTCCTGACCTCTGCTGATTAGAGGAACACCCAGGCTCCTCTGCACTAGAAGCACTCAAGCTCTGTTTACTCTTCGGGAGAGAGACGACGGGGCTAGCGAGGGTGGGGGGTAAGGGGCAGCTGGCAGAAGCTGTCTGCTTGGTCATCATTGCTACATGAAGTAATTTGTCACAGATTCTCTGACTGATTTTTCAGCAAGCTCTCATGGACTTGGAGAGGTCACTGAGGTGAGCTGTGTGTTGTGTGTAAACACAACACTGATGGGGGCTTCAAAGCCTCTGTTACCCCTCGGATTATAATTTATTGAATTAACAGAACCAAATAAAAGAACATGTAGGTCAGAGTCAACAGTGGGTCACAGGGACTGCCCAGGCTGGCCTCTTGGGACTCCCTCAGCTTGCAGGCCCTGAAGGGAGGGGTCAGTCATCCGAATTGGGCCTCATTTTGTAGCATTAGTTGAACACTTATCATTGACAGGGTCCTGTGCTCTTCAGTTTACATCCATTGTCTCCCTTATTCTCACAGTACTATGAAGCAGGTACTGTTATGCTTATTTTACAGATGAGAAAACTGAGGCTCATAAAAGTTCAGTAATTTGTCCAAAGTCCCACAGATAAAGATTCTGTCTTCATGGAACTTATATTTTAGTAGGAAGTGAAGAGATTAATTATGAAAATGATTGAGGGTCTAAGGATGGGTAGGGTCTGGCTCCTGGGACTGTGTTAGCACCTGTATTTCATAGACTCTAAGATGCCTCAGTTTTGAGGTGCAACATTATTTTATACATCATTAAGGGAAAAAATTTCCAATTTAACAATGACATGCATCGAGTAAAAGAGACATCCCAGTTTTAAAGATTAAAACGTATCTGTTAGAATTGATGAAGTATGGTACCAGCTGTCTTTCTAAGGCTGCCAAGAAAGAGTGGAATCTTTCCATCCTGAGTGGAATCTGATTCATGGCTGGGACCCATTTGGTTGAGGTTTGTATCCTGAGACACGCCCATTATCATTTCTGTCTAGAAGCTGAGCACTCAGCTGGGGCTCAGGGAAGCTGCCTGTCCTGACTGGTGCCTGAGGCTTTTTCCCAAAGAAGTGGACTCAGCTAGCATTGATGAGGAGAAGGAAGATTGAATAGAAATCACAGAAGGCAGGAGGACACCAGCTCCCTGCCATGGAGGGCTTGCCCAAGTATATCCTGTGCCCTCCACTCATCCAGATTGTATATGTCGGGCTAATCTCTCCTTCAAAAAATAAGGTCTTGACTACTGTATTTCAAGTTTCCTGTTGGATTATGACTGATTTTTAATAATCTATTATAAGTATCATCTGTTTATTCTCAAAATTGCTGAATTACATGTGCTGTCAGCATGGAATCCAACATTTTAGGTTTAAGGTCTGCCCTTGCTATTGAAAACTACCAGTTTAAGCTGGATACTTTATTCTTTCAAATAATGGTAAAAATGGAATAGCCAACACTTACCGAGCTTATACTGTGTGCCACACCTTATACTAAACCCTTTATAAGCATTACTCATGCTAATTCTCATGACCCCATGAGAAACTATTATTTTCATTTTATAGATTAATAAACTGAAATATACAGAGGTTCAGAATCTGCTCAAATTCATAGTTATACATGGTGAAGTCAGGATTCGAACTCAGGAAGTCTTTCTCCAAAGCTTATTTATTTATTTTTTGAGTTTCGCTCTTGTTGTCCAGGCTGGAGTGCAATGGCATGATCTCAAGTCACTGCAACCTCCACCTCCCAGATTCAAGTGATTCTCCTGCCTCAGCCTCTTGAGTATAGGCACGTGCCACCATGCTTGTCTAATTTCATATTTTTAGTCGAGATGGGGTCTCTCCATGTTGGTCAGACTGATCTC